AAAAAACAATGCAAGACTTGACTACTAATAAAGCTGTTTATTAATAATGTTGAGAAGTCTTCTGTAGCCAAAACAATTTCTTGGGCGTAACTATCTCTTTGGCGTAACGGGGGCTACTCACTCATAAGCAAACTATTGAAAACTTACTTGCGACAAGCTTGACTCTGTGAATCAGAGAAGCGAAGTAAAGTGAACTGTGCTTGACTCCGGAACAGGAGAAATCACTTGACTCTGATGAACAGAGAAGCAACTTGACTCGCTGATGCCAGAGAAGCCAGGAATGATAGGACTAGACTCTGTAAGAGTATAGAGAAGTACTTGACTCTAAGAGACTCTGACGGTTCTAGAGAAGTGACTTGACTCTGACACTGACTCACAGAGCAGCTAGTATAATACTAGGACAAACTTGACTCCAAGGTAACCAATGAGAAGACTCTGGACTCTGAACCGTTACAGAGCAGTGACTTGACTCATGAAAGGACCCTGTTAAGAAGTTTGACCCCCAATTTACACACACACACTAATATATTAAAATTTTTTGAATGACATGTATGAAACAAGCTAAAAATAAAAGGAGATTTTAAAATTGGGGGATGAAATTCCTCCGGAATTTAAAAGCCTTCCTCCGGAATTTAAAAGTTTGACCCCCATTTACCCATATCCAATATAGTAAATTATATTAATGACAACAATAAAGAAGCTAACAAAAAAAAAAAATAAATAAAATTTTTTAAATAGGGATTTTAAATTGATGGGGAGAAGAGTTAAAAAGTCAACATAAACCCCAACAAGAGTGAGTAGCCCCAACTAAAATATCATTAAAAATACAAACATTTGCATAAAGAAGAACTAAATACAATAATAAAGAACTAAATACATTTGTAATAAAAGCTAAACAATGAACAGGTACATACAAGTTAAACATACAATCATCTTTCCTAAAGGTGATGAAGGGGATGGCGGGTGGGTAAGGCACAAAATAAAATGCTCCTCGTTCTCCTCAACGCTGAAAAACTTAATGGAACCAATACCAATACCCCTCTAAAGAGTAATTGATGATTGGTTAAAGATAAGGAAAAACACTCATTAGCATACTAATTTGCATAAAGATACGACACATAAATGAACAAACAGAAATAAGATAAATTACGATTGAAACAGGAAGCTAAAGAAGGAAAACAGTTTCTTGCATAAACTCAAATTTAATAAAATATTAAATTTTACATTTTATACAAAAAACAATGCAAGACTTGACTACTAATAAAGCTGTTTATTAATAATGTTGAGAAGTCTTCTGTAGCCAAAACAATTTCTTGGGCGTAACTATCTCTTTGGCGTAACGGGGGCTACTCACTCATAAGCAAACTATTGAAAACTTACTTGCGACAAGCTTGACTCTGTGAATCAGAGAAGCGAAGTAAAGTGAACTGTGCTTGACTCCGGAACAGGAGAAATCACTTGACTCTGATGAACAGAGAAGCAACTTGACTCGCTGATGCCAGAGAAGCCAGGAATGATAGGACTAGACTCTGTAAGAGTATAGAGAAGTACTTGACTCTAAGAGACTCTGACGGTTCTAGAGAAGTGACTTGACTCTGACACTGACTCACAGAGCAGCTAGTATAATACTAGGACAAACTTGACTCCAAGGTAACCAATGAGAAGACTCTGGACTCTGAACCGTTACAGAGCAGTGACTTGACTCATGAAAGGACCCTGTTAAGAAGTTTGACCCCAATTTACACACATCTAATATATTAAAATTTTTTGAATGACATGTATGAAACAAGCTAAAAATAAAAGGAGATTTTAAAATTGGGGGATGAAATTCCTCCGGAATTTAAAAGCCAAAAATGAGCGAGTAAATGAGCTTACGAGCGAGAGCCCCCAATTGATAAGGGATAAAGGTTAAGAAACAGTCATATTGAGTTGAGCCGACTGTAAAGTGGCTGGATTAGTATGAATGTACCGAATAAAACAATCTGATGACCATCGTCCCAAGACTTTAATAACATGGTCTTGGACTCCGGCCGCTGCTGCAGAAGTGGCGGCACCAATTCTGAAAGAATGACCGTTGAAATCTTTACTATTCACACCTATGAGGGACAGGCAGGCTTTAAGGTAAGAAATAAAGGTATGACGCATTAAAGGCTTGGACTTAAATAAGTCCTCGATGAACAAAGGGCAAGTAGGAGTTGCCCCGAGAGAATGTCTGACCTTTAAATAATTTACCATAGTCAACACAGGATGTAAAACCTCATTATCAAAAATTCTTATGTGAACGCCTTTACCAAAAGGATCCATTTTTGAAGAACGTAAATACAAAATGAAACTGGACTTATCTGGTAGAACATGGACATCACTAAGACGAAGGTATGATTGGTCACCGAGTTTCCTACAGGTAAATTCTCCACATCTCAAAAAACCATAAAAAGCTGTTTGAAAAATACAGCATAGCATTTTTTTGACAAATGGTTCAAACAATCCTTGACTACTAGAAATAGTTATACACATATGATTAAGCAACTTAAAGGTTATAGGCAATCGCTTATTGGAAAAATTAACCTGAGTTCTTTTAATGCCCCGCAAGATGTAATTTAACCGCATGGTGTTTGCGAGAGGGTCCCCCAAGTTTAACTTGATGTAATGAAACCTTATGCCAGCTAAATAGAGTTTAATAGTGTCGAACTTCAAGCATAAAGCTTCCTGGCAGTATGTCACAAAAAATATAAGTAAATCTTCATCAACAATGGGAAGGGAATTAGCAGCACATGCAATTCCCCTCATAACCAGAAATGTCACAAAACAGTTCAAACCGGACTTGTAAGTAGCCAGAGTCTTCTCACTAAGGGCATGGTTCCATAAACTATCAACCGCTGTATTCAGCTCATCATCAATGAGGCCATAGGCAGACATGGAATTGGTAGTACATCTGCTTGAGGTGCCAGCTGTCTGAATTTGCACATCTGAAAACGAGAGATGGCGTCTGCAATGTTGTTTTGCTTACCAGGTATATGGACTGCATGAATCACAAAGTTATGCACGGCAGAATAGTATGTAAGTTTTCGCATAAGACACATAATGCTGGACACTTTGGATCTCCCTTTGCAGATTATGTCTACCGTAGCTAAATTATCACAATGAAAAAGAATACGTTTTTTATGCCACTGGTGACCCCACAACACACAAGCCATAACAATAGGGTATAGCTCAAAGAGGGCCATAGATGTGTCCATGGCTTTAAGTTCACTAGGAAAAAAACCTTGAAACCACTGGTTAAGGTAGATTCCCCCGAAAGATTCAGATGTAGCATCGGTAAAAAGATGGAGGTCAGCTGCTGATGTGATATGATCATCCAGAAAAAAGGATTTGCCATTCCAATTCTTCAAAAAGAACGACCACATGTAAAGGTCTGATCGACACTCATTGCTGATTTTCACATGATGATGTAGCTCGCGCACTGTAGTAGAAAGCGATATGAGATGAGAGACAAAAGAACGCCCCGGTCTAATACACCGACCGGCAAAGTTCATGTGACCTAGCAAGCTGAGCAACTCGCGTTTGGTACAAGACTTTTTTCTCTTGAAAGAATCCAAAAACTCAATAATTCTTTCCACTTTTTCACGTGGAAGACGACATTCCCTCAGATGAGAGTCTAGGGACACACCAAGGTATTCGAGTGATGTACAAGGGCCTACAGTTTTATGCGCACCTACAGGGATGCCTAATTCCTTGAACATAGACATAAAACGTTCCATAGTAAGAGATGCATTGACATAAGCTGGTTCAATAACTATGAAATCATCTAGCAAGTGAAGAATGTTACGAATATTGTACTTGTTCTTAGCTATCCAACAAACTGCCCGAGAAAGGCTATCGAAAATTTTTGGGCTTGAACGACATCCAAATACGAGGCGCGTAAAGAAATAATATTTGTTGTTCCACTTGACGCCGTGGTAAGGCCACAAAACGGGATCAATTGGTATCAGCTTGAAGGCATCAGTGATATCGGTCTTCATTAGCCATGCATCGAGGCCACAGCGCTTAATAAGATGTATAGCATCATCTACTGTAACATACTTCAGCGAGCAAGTTAATTTATCAATTAGACTATTTAGGCTAGGATTGTTTGTGTCTTGATGTGGAGCGGATAAATCAACAATTAAACGCTTTTTCTTCGAATATTTATGTTCAGCTAAGCCTAACGGGTTGATGCGGTACCTGGAATAGGGAATATTGTCAAAAGGACCTATTAAGTATCCTTTATTTAGTTCTTTCTCCAACAACTCTGAAACACTTCCTGGGTCACTGATAGCTGACCTCAAGTTTTTACACACTATGGAGTTAATAGGAAGGTGTTGTAGACCAGTGTCAAAGCCGTGAGTTAGACCATGAATTAACTTATTAACAAATTGCTGATCAGGGTGTCCTTGAAGTTTGGAATGTAAAGCCTCAACACATATTGGGGTAGAAGCTGTCATAGGATCATGGTGATGGAGGGCTAAGATGTCTTCTTTTGAGGCTGACGGCTCTCTAAAGGGCAGGCTACTTTTGTGTGGCTTGCCTTACAGGTTAGACAGATGTGAAGGTTATTGCAAAGATTGGAAGAACAACCAAATCTACCATTGAAATTGTTACAAATCTCTCGCCCCTCAAAAACAACTCTGGGTCTGCCTTTTGAGTCAGAAGCCATAGACACTTGCCCTTTATTTTGACGAAACTGGCTGTTCCCAGAGAAACCACTGCTACTCTGTCGCTTATCCTGGCCTGGGTTGGGGCAAAATTTTGTAGTATGTGCAGTGCTACCACACATTGAACACGAAACTGGAACTAAATTGGCAAATATGTTGCAGAACAAGGTATTATCCCGAACGGACCAATCTATTTTCCGGTTATTGAAACGTAAATGGGCTGCTGCCTTCAACGAAAACTGTCGATGATATTCATAGAACCCGGAGCTGTATCTGGTTCCCATGTCTACGATATCTCGCTCGTACATGTCAAGCTCAACTCGGCGATGTGGGTGAGTGGAACACATGACTTGTTTATAAACGCTAAAAGCTAAAATGAATTCGCTTAGAGTAAGAGTTCTGTTGAGCCTAGCGTCCTGTTTCTCGTTAATACCTAAGCTTGAGTCACTTTGACCACTGTAGTACGGAATAAGGATAGCAGCCAAATTAACATCTTTCCCGGTTATAATCTGTTGGCGCAATGAGGGAGATATTGTTTCTACTAGCGGTAAGGATTCGGAGGTGTACCCATATTGGGTACGCTTATAGGAGAAAATACCTGCTGAATCGCCGGAAGGAATACTTTCCTCTTGAAGTTTCCGATACGCACTGTCCAGTGTAAATTCTTCTGTGACCGCCGCCAATGTCGAACCGGGATGCATCAACGGCGAATTGGCTACATGGGTGGTAGGAGTCGGGGCTCGGATACCATCAGTCGCCATTTGACGAGAACTACCTGCAGCGGCAGCAGAAGTAGGTTGCACAGATCTAGACTGAGTGAGCGTGAGTACGCTATTCTCCAACCTGCAATAACAGTTCTGGAGAGTGTTAACACTGTCTGCTAAGCTGGAAATCATGTTTCGTAAGCTGGTAGAATCTGCCCGTTCCGGACTTCCGGTCTGGCGGCCAACTTGTCTCGGAGCATCATGGGATGCAATCGCGTCGCTCGGGGCATGCTGGGATACCGCACCTCTCAGGGCCGCTTGTGCCTCCTTCAATTTTTTAACAGTTCCATACGCTTAGAACCACTCCGGTAGGGCACATTCAATAAATGAAGTTCTTGTTGTAATCGAGCGATTGTCCAATTTTCTACAAATTCCGGATCGTAAGGAACTGTTCTGTTAGATTTACGCCCACGTTTCGTAGCCATCATTGAACAATGGAACCGACCCTCACCTCTGACACGGAAGTTCTTCAACACTAATAGTTGTGAGGTGGTTGTTTATGATACTCCTATTAATCCAGGCGCAGGTAAATACACCAGATCGGGAATTGTCACACAACACAGCTCACGACAGCGAATGGTAGTACAAAGTATTGACACTGGAATTGTCGATGGAATATCCAAAATGGCGAATGATCGGAGTATCCGACTGATAGATAAGAAATCCTAAAAAGGGAGAACAGTAACAAGTTCAGCGCTTCTGAAATCACGCAACGTTAAACTCACAACTGCATAAAGATCGTATGCGCAAACTTGGCCACAAAAGTGAAGTAATAGCTTTTCAATAGGTAAAATTTAAGGCACAAAATAAAATGCTCCTCGTTCTCCTCAACGCTGAAAAACTTAATGGAACCAATACCAATACCCCTCTAAAGAGTAATTGATGATTGGTTAAAGATAAGGAAAAACACTCATTAGCATACTAATTTGCATAAAGATACGACACATAAATGAACAAACAGAAATAAGATAAATTACGATTGAAACAGGAAGCTGAAGAAGGAAAACAGTTTCTTGCATAAACTCAAATTTAATAAAATATTAAATTTTACATTTTGATATCCTAGAAGATAAAAGGTATGGTGCTTGTTGAAAATAATTGTTATAGAAGGAGACTGTGTTGAAACATGTGGTCTTGTGTAATACCATCACCAGTGTTAAGCTCTTACTGTATATCTACAGATAGTTAATTTACATGAGGATGATCTGGATACATTGGTCAGGTGAAGATGTAAGACTATGGTAATCTGGTAGGTAAAATTGCCGACAGCTAAAATCAATATTGCACTAATTAGTTTGTGAAGCGGTTCCACACCAGTACTGGTATAAATAGCTCTGAAAGCAAAAGTGTTAATGTTTCTGGTTGTCTTTCTGTGTGATAACCTGCAGGATATATATATGTATATTGACAGCCATGCAATAATATCTACCATACATGCATTGCAATGCTTCTGTATAAACTAGCTAACATGAAAGAAGAGCAATTTTCGATACAACAAATACTTTTCAGCATGTGACCGCTTTGATGTCAGTAAGTATTGTTAGCATAGAAATGGTTATGATACACTGTCAGCATAGCTTACTTACTAAACAATTACATTGTTGATAATGAATAATTTATCTAAGTTAAGTCTAGTTACAATTGGTATTTAGATGGCAGTATGCTTGCATATTTATAATGTTTATTTTACCTATTGAACAATCTTTATCTGTCATTTATAGTCAATACGTATGAACATCAGTTTGCTAAGACATGATTTTCTTGTAAAGCTGCTCTCTGAATGTATAAATTCTATTCTTTCTAGATATAGATATATTTTCTATACATTTGGGGCCATTTGATGGTCATTATTACAAGCCTTCTGCCTCTGAGTCATGAGTTTGTGGCCTATGTGGGACAGTTGTGAGGTACTGGCCGCACAGGTCGGTGGTTCTACTCCAGGAACTGTAGCTTTCTTCTACCACCTTAACCTGGCATGTCCTTAAAAGACCCAGACTGTTAATAGGTTAAAATCAACAATAAACATAAACTCATTGAAATGTCTTATCCAGATCATAATCTGATGAAAACTTTTTGCAGTACAAAGCATGTAAACCTTCAAAATGGAACAGGACTTGGCTATTTGGTTAGTGTACTATTACTGTCTATAACAAACTATAATGTTGTCAGAGTCAAATGGTGATTATTGATGATACTTTGTATCCACTTTTCTGGTTCCTTCAGTGACATCACCTTGAAAATGTAAATGTTGTTATCTTTCTAGAATAATGAATTACAGTAATTTGCCATGCACTAATTCACATAACTAAATTTTTTAACCTAGCGTTTCCTGACATGTATGAAAAGCTGTTGATGGTCATGCATGATATATCTTGATGTTTTCATGTTTTGTTTGAACACTCCTTTTTTAATGTACAGGTAATTCACTGCTACAGGATGATGGCACTTATTAAGAAGCCAAATTTTAATTGGATAATTAAACTGGTAATTAATCTCCAGAGACCAAGTATTGTGTATACAATAGACTCTGGGTATGCATTGACTGATTTCATCAGTGTTTTTGAAAAAAAAATTATATTGAGACAACAAATGATTTTTCTCATGCTTCACAATTGAAGGAACTGAAAAATCACTCAGACTCGACTGAAATTTGAGTCATCTGAACTAAAATTACAAAGATGTAGAAGGAAAAAGATTTGGACTTGAAAATCATTTTGACTCAAATGGAATTTGGACTCAAGCAATTTCGAGACAAAGAGTTTCAACTGTATTATATAATGAAAATTGGTTTCTCATTGTAGCATTTAGTGACAAGTTATCAAATTCTTTTAGGATCTCTGACAATTTTGACATCAACTTAAGCAAGATAGCCCCACTTGGAGCATGATTAGGGTATGAAAGAGGAGGCCGGCAATGGTCACCCTCGCCATCTCTTCATAGATATATGACAGAGGATCTGTGCATCTTGTGGTCAGAGTGGGATAGATCATGACAGGCAATGCAGATGATTGTAGCAAAACATGTCACAGTATGATAGAATGTATCTTGACAAATTCTAGTAGGTAGTGATAAAGCATGATAGAAATATGCTGGATTGGAGTGAAACTTAATCAGTATCATGTTTTTAAGTTCACCAAGATCTGTTGTGATTGGACATCAAAATCTTAATGTTATACTCTGTATACTATTGTAAGATTCTCATCGTTTATCACACCCTCTGAAAAGTGGCATCAAATCAGGATAATCACAACAAAAGTACATTCATCCAAGCTCGGCCAAGTTCTCTCAAGTTCATTATAATTTTATCCTTCAAAAAGTATCCTACCCAACCCATCTGTGCCTTCTATGCTCATCATGCTCATCGTGTAGATTTTATACTAGAAATTAAAAAATCAAGTGAAATATATGCATTATCATTGATTAATAGTCATACATATATACCATACTTTCTTTGATCTTCACCTGTTGACAGTAAACATCATTAAAAATCTGGCCAGACTTTTATGTAGATAAATACACCAGTTCTATATAACATTTAGACATCATACAACCAACATACTCTCTAATCTAGTCATAATACTTTCATTTTTGAAAAACTCAAACCTTCAAGTCAGAGCTATTTTCAAGGTAATTGAAACTTGTTGCATATTTGATCTTTCATCCCTTAAATCTCCTTTGTTTATGTGCAGCTGAAAGAGTCTTGCACTCAGTCTAGCTTGTTGGAATTAACTGATATTTTACACATCAATATTGTATTGTGCAGCTGGAGTTGTTCTCACAGTCTAGCCCTTTGGTTAGTCTAGCTTGTTGGTATCAACAGATATTTTACACATCAATATTGCTACAGGTTACAAGTTATTTAGATTAAGAATAGACGGAAAAAGTAGTTTAAATACATCTGAGACTGCACTGATCAATTTGATCAATTTGACTGCACTGATATACGTTTGTCTTTGATTACAATAATGTGTCTGTTAATTAGTAAAGAAAGACTTATCAATCTATCAAATGGCAACAGGTATTTCAATCAATAAACGGTGTCAAAAAATTGTCTGCTCTATACTCTATACCAAGAAATGTGTCAACTTTTGATGCAGAATTGATGAAACGGACAAAGGAATTCTTTTGAAATTTTATTGTAAATTTTCGTTTTGTGATCTACTCTTTCCTCGGGGAAAAAAGTGGAAAATATCACTTCTTGTAAATAGAACAAACTAGGGGAAAGAGCCAATGTCAGATGATAACCCGTGGGTTTCATATGGTGGTTTATTCGTGTTGAGTATGGATACCCCAGAGATATCCCAGGCAGCTATAGTGAATAAACTAATTATAAGCAAGGTAAGATAACCGCAACCTACTCAAGCGTGTTCTGGTACTATTTTTCATCGTCTACTAGTTTCGACCCAATCGCTGAGTCTTCATCAGGACAATTTTTACAATATCTCCCGATTCCGATTCTGATGAGCCACTCAGGTATGAATCATTCTTTAATAGTTCCACGGCTTCCTCTAGGACTGGTCGAAATCTACTCGCTGGTTGATTCACCTGTTCCCTGGTTTTATCTTCTTCGATTTTTGGTTCAACCTTATAAAATGGATGCATGTTCTTTAAATGTTTGTTGTAATTATCCCTCCTTCCAAAAGTAGATTTATATATCTTGCAACTGTAGAAAGTAGATCTATTGCCATGTTCTTGATTAACATGACTGCGTAGGTTTCCCATATTGGTATAACTTTTTCCGTGTACGATACAAGGAATGATTGGTTTCCAAGATGTCTTCTGTGACTTAAAATCTTGATATTTCCCATTGTTATGTGAGGATTTTTAGACCCCATAGGTGCTGCGCCTGAAGGCTGTATATCCAGCTTTCCTCGGTTCTTAACCATTTGTTAATGTCAGTAATTCCTGACTTAATTCCGAGGACTGTGATGTCATCACCGTTGTGTCCGGGAGAGTTGAAGTGTATTGCAACAGGTTTACTCTCTTCTTTGCGGTGGATGTCATATAGGTGGTTTTCTATCCTTACGTTTATGGTGTTGGATGTTTGTCCCACGTACTGGATATCACATTTTTCACATATGACAAGGTATATGGCATTTATACTGTGATAGTTCATGTGTTTTGTAATTTTGTGACTCATTTTGTTGGAGCTGCTTTTTACATAATTTGTTTCATTCATGTAAGTGCAGATTCTGCATTTCATTCCACACGACTGGCTAACGGCAGGTTGCCATTCCCTGGTGATGTCATTATGAATTATATAATTTCTTATTGATTTTGGTTTAGTTTATGCTACCATCATTCTTGCCCTGAGAATCTTTTGGGTCTCAGGGTTATATTGTAATATGTTCTTTATTATTTTCACTATTTGCGGGTTCTGAGGGTTGTACGGTAGTACAAATGCTATGACCGGCTGGCTGCCGGTGTTGTCCAAATCTTTGAGTAGCTTGTCCCGATCCACTTGACTGGCCTTAGTGATGGCGTTGTCAGTGAGTGGTTCACGATAATCTCTATTTAGAAATCTTTTCTTCAGTCTTGGCATTCGTTGTGAAAATCTGTATCCTTACCGCATATCTTCTGTATGCATAAAGCCTGTGCATATGGTATATTGTCTTTCTGGTGTTTTGGGTGACAACTTCCGTAGTGTAAAAATAGTACCAGAACACGCTGGAGTATGTTGCAGTTAACTTACCTTGCTTATGTCTTGTAAATAGCAGTCTTTATGTACACACTGACAGTAAAGATGTTTAAGTATTAATCAGTTTGTCTTACCTTTATTTACAACTCAACATGACAAACATAGGTGTATGTGGTTTCACAAAAATGCACTCACCTGTACACAGGGTCATAAATGATGTATTCAAACAAATATCGGTCAAGTTTAATCTACCAAGATAAGTGAATGGTCCTGTCTGTATACCAGCTGGGTTATTTTACACCACTGAGTAAACAGAGAAGTGAAATGCATATAGGCTTGATAGGAAATTAAGTGACTAGCTACAATGTGTTTATAAATGTATTAATCTATTGGTTACTATATTTGGTAAGTACATGTAACTTCATAATACCACTACTAAGTAAGAGGTCATGATCATATGAGCTTATTTTATCTGCCGTGGGATTTGGGGTCATGGTCAAGCTGTAGTTCTTCAAATTTTAACCTGGCAGCTTACATACATTCTATACATAATGCATGGTATTTTAGATGAAAGAAATTTAAATTCAGATATACCTTCATAGATATAATATTTCATTTACTACATGCCTCCAGTATAACCTTAAAAAAGTTACCACCGCTGTTTTTATGTGCATAATCAACCCCGACCCCCCCAACCCCCTCCTCCCCTCCCAAAAATGTGTATAAGCACGTTTTTCTCCTGACACTGCATATTGTAAAGCCAGACATTTTTGGGGGCTTAGTTTTTACTTTTATTTTAAGGTCAACCGACAATAGGTGATGTTGACATATAGCGATCATTTTTCATCCGTACATAGTGTGTTAACTTTTTCTTGTGAGCATGGTAACTTGTGTAACTAAGAGCTGATTTTGATGAAGCTTGGTATGCAGCAAAATGTAATCAACATTTGGTATGTGTTTGACCTTGTTATGAAATTATTCAATCATAATTTATTGTACCTTGTGAACAGGATAACTTGTGTAAACATGAACAGATTCATAAGATCTTGGATAAGTCCAAAAACAAGGTTAATTTGATTGTGACTTACAGAATTTTATAGCCTTTTGCTATTGTTTTTACTCTGGATCTATTGAGCGTGATAACTTGAGTACGTATAAACAGATTTTCTAAAAAGTTGGTATGCAGCCTAGTATCAATAGGATCTCAGATGACTTCAACAATGGGAATGTTTTGATTTGCAGAGTTATGGCCCTTGCTGTTTTATTACTATTGGAACTTGTGAACATGAGAATTTGAGTAGATATTAACGGATTTTGATGAAACTTGGTAAGCAGCCTTATATCAATAGGATCTCAGAGGAGTTAAACGATAGGACAGATTTAATGACACTTATAGAGTTATGACCTTTACAGGATAAATTCAGGTGAGATTAGTCAGATGGCTGTTCTGGCCCATGGACCTCTTGTTCATTACTTTTTAGTGGATGCTTTATTTGGTGAATAAATATATCTAAATAAATCTGCTTATACAATGTTTACAGTTTGTTGACATCTGATTTTGTTGATTATGAGTATCCACATAGTAAACAGTTTTTAACAGGTTTCAAGAATCATGTGCACATAGTAGTGTTAGTGTACGTACACACATACTGAATCAGTGATATGTTTAAAAGGGCAAATGAAGATGAACAAGTGTTTTGGATGAACCATTGATCAAGTCTGAATCAGTGATATGTTTGAAGCTGAGGCAATTAAAGATGAACATAAAGTGGGGCTGAACCATTGATCAGAACTGAATCAGTGATATGTTTGAACTGAAGGCATATAACAAATGATGGAGTATGCAGAGCCATGATAAAAAACCAGATCGATGTACTGTATATAGAGCCAGTCTTGAGCTTCTTGTTGATGGCTGTCACTTTTATCAGTGAGGGATATGCATGAGAATTGTATTTCTAAGAACCAAACATGAGGCTCAAGGAGACTCGAAGTTCAGTCTCATAAAATGTATTTATTGGTGTAATTTGTATTTTTTTCTTTCCAGGTCTCTCAACTTGAGGTGAGTTCCTCAAGTAATGTGAAGGAGGAAGTACTGGGTGACCCGCCCAAAGATTGTCTAAACCTTGATGATTTCAAGATTGACCCCACACAGGTGCCAGTAGCCACAACAGCCAGACCAGACATGGACAGCTCTGTTCCTTCTAGCAGTTCTGGCATCAGTGAAGCATTCCCATGTTCCCAGGACAGTTTCCATAGTGACAAGGAGGGGTGTACCATTAGCTCTCCTGTCAAAAAGTACAAAAAATTAAAACATGAAAAGTACTGTCTGGTTTGTGGAGACAAAGCCCTAGGATACAATTTTAATGCAGTTACTTGCGAGTCCTGCAAGGCGTTTTTTCGGCGAAATGCATTGAAAGATCAGGTTAGTTTTTTTTGTATATATATATAAGTGATTATGTGATATCATCTGATGGCACGCACAATACCCTGTTTTTAAGTCCACCCTATCAGCATATCTAGATTTTTTTTGTTTTTTTTTCAAATTAATCTTAAACTAATCAAACCACCCTTCTGCTGTGCTCCATAGGCTTCTTTTGATCATTGTTTCTGGAAAAACATGGATCATTCTCAAACTTTTATAGGTTCACCTCAGTTGTGCATATTCCATTTTAAAATCAAGAATCTTGGTTTTTGACAGTCATGTGCTGTTTTCACTATTTCTGGAGATGTATCAGATTGACCATTCTCAAACTAAAGTTGTAGATTTGTCTTAGTCCAAAGTTAACCATAGTATATTTTGGAATTTATTTAAAGAACAAGATGACTGACAGGTGGCCATCTTGGTTTTAGACATTCTTGTAGTTTGTTATTTCTCTTACTGGAGAAGTGTTGGATGGATCATTCTTTTGATATATAAGGTTTGCCTTTGTCTGTTGTATTTTCCATTTTGGGATTCAGGGGAAAAGCAAAATGGTTGACAGGGCGCCATCTTTGATGTTGACAATGAAGTATGTCAACACTAGCGAAGTAAACAATGGATCTTTCTTAAATTTCTTTTAATAAGTTCTCCTATCTCCCAAGTTGTGCCTCGCAAAATGGCTGAGAGATGGCCAACTTTTATGTGGTAATGAAGTTAGTTAACACTATTTCCTAAGAAGTACAAGGCGGATGTTTCTCTTAAATTTTAGATATAGGTGCCCCTAATTGTGCCTTACAAAATGGCTGACTGTTGGATTTTGTCTATGGAAGTTGTGGATGGAGCTTTCTTAATTTCGTATTTAGGTTCCCTCTTTCCCTTAGATCAGAAACACAAAATGGCCAACAGGCAACCATCTTGGATTTGGAAGTTAAAGATTATAATTGCTATTTCTTAAGAGGAATTTTTACATTTCATATCATAATTAAGAGCAAAAACAGATGAAGGAAGAGAAAAGAAGGGAAAAGATTCAACTTTAAAAGAACAAATAAAGATCTATTGACGGTGGATGCCAAGATCCCTCTGGGATCTCTTGTTAATTGAGGTTTGTATTTGTCAAGAAGCTGAGGTAATGGAACTGTTCTGTGCAGTCATGATTGTTTCCTTGGACAAGACCCTTGACCCTAACTGCTCTTTGCAGCATTAGAATTTAAAATTGTCACCTGTGAGCATTTGGTTTTTAAGTGTTTTTGACAAATCTCTTTGGAACATCAAAGGCTTCATTATAATATTACCACGTGTATGATTGAGTGGAATGCTCATTTGTAGGTAATACTATTACCTTTTGTTGTATTTCATGTCTTGGCCATTTTAAGTGGGGCATATATTATTACCAATGTCCACTGGTCCCATCCTGTTTCTAATCAGTGTCCTATCTTGATGACTTCACAGCAGATTTGGTTCTTGTTTACTCCCTAGTAGCATCAAGTTCTGCACCTGATCAGATTCTGGTTTGCATAGGATCAAATGCATTCATGTCATACAGATTTTTTCTAGTGATACATTTTAATTAGAAAGTATTTATTACTACTGTTGTGCTTTTTTTGTTTTTGACATGACAAGTCATTAATTCCCAAGTATTCAACTGTAAAGATTTTTATTTTCAGGGGATTTTTTTTTTGTACAGATTTGATAGATGGAATAAAATCATGAGAAACAGTTTCTTTGACAGTGAAGTGATCAGAGAATTTTGTTGCCCATTTCAGGACTTCCGTAAAAAGACATCCTTTTTGCTGTATGTTTTTTGTAAAACTGAAAATTCAAATCCTGAAAAATAAACATTCTGTACAGTATAGATATGTCACATTTGGTCTTTGTTATTTACTGGACACCAGGGAATACCATGAAATGTAATGCTACATGTATGGGTTACACAGTATCTTTTCTTATATTAGTAAATTCACCATGACTGTGAGAACACATTGTAGATACAGGATTTTGTTGAATGTACAGACAGATGGATATCAGTATGCGAAGTTTATGTGCCAGTGTACAGATTATTTTGTGGTCACATTTTAAGACTGAGAAACAGAATCAGATGTCACCCTTAATTGTATCACCTGGGGCGTGACATATTCAAATAAAAAGATGTAACATAGCTCCTGCCCTGACTTAATGATGTTAGTGATTTAAACTACCTGCTGTGTCTTTTTAGACTGATGACTTACGATCACATATCAGAGACAAGATAATTTAGTTTTGCGAAAGGTCATGTAGACTGTAACTGCTGTTTTCTAACATTTTTGTAGCCAAAGGCTTGTTGCTAGAAATCCTCTAGGTTATCCCTACCATGTATTGTCAAGACATAAAAAAAAAAATTTCTGGCGTGTGTTTTGGTATGTCAATGTGTTCGTCTGTCTTTAACTTTTGTCATTCTAGAGATCTCCTTGGGGGTCCTGACATGAAATGTTGCCACAGTTTTCACACAATCTTTGTCAAACTTGGAAGACTTAATCACCATGACACGAAGTTGTGTCCTTAATGGCTGTTTGATTTTGAAGAGTTACTTACCACTGTTGATACCATAATATTAATTTTGTCTGGAGATCTCCTTTCTCAATTTTCAACTGATTGCTCAAGTTTTGTTCATAATGTTAAACTTGTTCAGATCTGTCTGAGATTTTTACCATTTTCTTTAAAACTTTGCAGATAAGCTTAATCACCATGACATGCAATTGTGTTTTCCTGAAAACAGGTTGAATTGACTGTTTTTGAAGGAGAAACTGCTCTTTGTTGTTTTATAATGTTAACCATCTGGAGATTTCCCTTCTGTTTCAACACCATAACATGAATTGATGTTTTCTTACATTTCATTCAACAAGGAGTTATTGCCATTTTTTGAAGCATTTTTATTTTGTATGGAAATCTTCCATAATTTGTCACTATTGTCTCTGAAACTTGGTAGACTTTACATGAAACAATGTTTTCCGTAATAGAATTGTGATGTTACCAATTTTGAAAGAGTTACTGACCTTTGTTGTTTTGAACACTTTCATCCTATCCAGATATCTCCACTCTCAGTTTTTAAACAATTTGGTAGGCTTGAAACCCTCATGTGTCCTTATCTACGACATTTGATTCTACAATATTTCAAAAAGTCCAGATTTTCATGGCCTGCCATCTTATCAATAATCAATCAATGATTAATAATATTTTGCAGAACAATTATAGATATAACAGGGTCTTATCACCAGACAGAGACTCTTAATTGTTCTTTTGCATGATGTTGGCTTATATTGATATATATCATTAGGAATCATCGATTCAAAGATTCTTCCTTTAATCATATTTTCTCAAGAATTACAGGATTTTTCTGTTTTTAGAGTGTTTAACATCTTTTCAACAACCAGGGTCAGATGAAGATGGCAGAATTGTTGGAGGATGAATCATTCTTATACTTGTATAGGTATTCAGTGTCTTTTTGTTTTTTTTAGTCTGACTAGGAAAGAAAATGATATATGGTCACTAATCTCCTCATTAAATTTGTGAATATTTCATGCAACTTGCTTACTATTCTGTTTTTCTAAATTTCAGTCACTCAAGTGCTTATTCCAAGGGAATTGCAGCATCGATATAAGGACAAGGCGATTTTGTCCATTTTGTCGTTTGAATAAATGCTACCAAATCGGTATGAAGAGAGAAATGATTCTTGGTGAGTAATTCATTAATGTGTATAATCTCTATTTTTCATAGTGAAAAGTGTATATATCAAAGATTAGTGATGTCTTTTTATTGGATAAACTTGTAAAATAAACATATACCTGTATATATGAGAACTTTGAGAATCCAGTCATAATTTAAAGTCGTTTCACTGTCCAGTCACCAGTGATCCTGTTGTTCCGCTACTAGTCACCACTAACCTGTTGTCTCACTATCCAGTCACCATTAACATGTTGTCCTAATATCCTCCTACCTCTAACCTGTTGCAACACTATCCACTCACCACTAGACTGTTGCCCCACTACCAGTCACTACTAACCTGTTGCCACACTATCTAATTGCCACTAGCCTGTTGTCCCACTACCAGTCACCACTATACTGTTGCCCCACTACCAGTCACCACTAACCTGTTGCCACACTATCCAGTCACCACTAGACTGTTACCACACTTTCCACTCACCACTAGACTGTTGTCCCACTACCAGTCACCACTAACCTGTTGCCACACTATCCATTGCCACTAGACTGTTGCCCAACTACCAGTCACTAACCTGTTGCCACACTATCTAATTGCCAATAGCCTGTTGTCCCACTACCAGTCACCAACAACCTGTTGCCACACTATCCACTTGCCACTAACCTGTTGCCACACTATCCAGTCACCACTAACCTGTTGCCACACTATCCATTGCCACTAGACTGTGGCCCCACTACCAGTCACTACTAACCTGTTGTCACACTATCTAATTGCCACTAACCTGTTGCCACACTATCCATTGCCACTAGACTGTTGCCCCACTACCAGTCACTACTAACCTGTTGCCACACTATCTAATTGCCACTAGCCTGTTGTCCCACTACCAGTCACCACTAACCTGTTGTCCCACATCCTGTCACCACCAAACTGTTGCCCCACTACCAGTCACTACTAACCTGTTGCCACACTATCTAATTGCCACTAGCCTGTTGTCCCACTACCATTCACCACTAACCTGTTGTCCCACTAACTAGTCACTACTAACCTGTTGTCCCACAACCCGTCACCACCAGACTGTTGCCCCACTACCAGTCACCACTAACCCGTGCCACACTATCCACTCACCACTAGACTGTTGCCCTACTACCAGTCAATACTACCCTGTTGCCACACTATCTAATTGCCACTAGCCTGTTGTCCCACTACCAGTCACCACTAACCTGTTGCCACATGATCCACTTGCCACTAACCTGTTGCCGCACTATCCACTCACCACTTACCTTTTGCCACACTATCCACTCGCCACTAACCTGTTGTCTCACTGCCAGTCACCACTAGCCTGTTGTCCCACAACCTGTCACCACTAACCTGTTGTCCCTCAACCTGTCACCACTAACATGTTGTTCCACAACCTGTCACCACCAAACTGTTGCCCCACTACCAGTCACCACTAACCTGTTGCTACACTATCCAGTCACCACTAGACTGCTGCCCCACTACCTGTCACAACTAACCTGTTGCCACACTTTCCACTCACCACTAGACTTTTGTCCAACCACCAGTCACCACTAACCTGTTGCCACACTATCCATTGCCACTAGACTGTTGCCCCACTACCAGTCACTACTAACCTGTTGCCACACTATCTAATTGCCACTAGCCTGTTGTCCCACTACCAGTCACCACTAACCTGTTGTCCCACATCCTGTCACCACCAAACTGTTGCCCCACTACCATTCACCACTAACCTGTTGCCACAGTATCCAGTCACCACTAGACTGTTGCCCCACTACATGTCACCACTAACATGTTGCCACACTTTCCACTCACCACTAGACTGTTGTCCCACTACCAGTCACCACTAACCTGTTGCCACACTATCCATTGCCACTAGACTGTTGCCCCACTACCAGTCACTACTAACCTGTTGCCACACTATCTAATTGCCACTAGCCTGTTGTCCCACTACCAGTCACCACTAACCTGTTGTCCCACAACCTGTCACCACCAAACTGTTGCCCCACTACCAGTCACCACTAACCTGTTGTCACACTACATGTCACCACTTACCTGTTGCCACACATTCCACTCACCACTAGACTGTTGTCCCACTACCAGTTACCACTAACCTGTTGCCACACTATTCATTGCCACTAGGCTGTTGCCCCACTACCAGTCACTACTAACCTGTTGCCACACTATCTAATTGCCACTAGCCTGTTGTCCCACTACCCTGTTGCCACACTATCCATTGCCACTAACCTGATGCCACACTATCCACTCGCCACTAACCTGTTGTCACACTATCCATTCGCCACTAAACTGTTGCCACACTATCCACTCGCCACTGATCTGTTGACCCACTGCCAGTAACCACTAACCTGTTGCCATACTATCCATTGCCACTAGACTGTTGCCCCACTACCAGTCACTACTAACCTGTGTTCTTACTATCTAATTGCCACTAGCCTTTGTCCCACTACCAGTCACCACTAACCTTTTGCCGCACTATCCACTCGCCACTTACCTGTTGCCGCACTATCCACTTGCCACTGATCTGTTGTCCCACAACCTGTCACCACTAACATGTTGTCCCTTTATCAGTCATCACTCCCCTGTTGTCCCACTAACAAGTCACCACTAACCTGTTGTCCAACTATCCATATCACCACTAACCTGTTGTATAACAAACCAGTCACCTCTAACCTGTTAACCCACTATTCAGTCACCACTAACCTGTTGTCCAACTATCCATTCACCACTAACCTGTTGTATAACAAACCAGTCACCTCTAACCTGTTGTCCCACTATTCAGTCACCACTAACCTGTTGTATAACAAACCAGTCACCTCTAACCTGTTGTCCCACTATTCAGTCACCACTAACCTGTTGTCCCACACCAGTCCCCTCTAACCTGTTGTCCCACTATTCAGTCACCACTAACCTGTTGTCCCACACCAGTCACCACAAACCTTTTGCCTCTCTATCCAGTAAGCTAGCTTGTTGTCACATTGTCCAGACACCACTTATGATATGCATGTCAAGTTGACATTTTACATGGCTTTTTTTCTGGATAATTTGGGGCTAAAGTTTGGGCCGATTCCCAATGACAAAACAGTTTGGTTTTTCTGAATCCAAGAATCAAAATCATTGAACACAGTCCAATGTACAATTTGTTAATAAACTTCCCTTACTTAAGAGGGTGGTGTTTTTTCTCAGCAAAATATATCAGCTACATAGGAAAAAAATAATAAAAAAAAAAATTTACTTTAATATCCTTGTTTCATTATTTTTGTGAATTGGGAATTTCTTTGCACTTTCTTCTCAAATTCTAAACCATTGACTCCATTCTGGAATTTTACCAAAAAAAAAAAAAAAAAAGAAATGCTGCTATTTTTGTGGAATGGATTTTTGCTCTCATAAATCTTTGCAAAGTTCTTTTACTTCTACAGGACTTAATTGTGAGTGATTTTGTAAATCATAGACAGAATTCCAACATATATTACATATCAGTTTCTTACGTTTACAGATGACAGCGAGAAGAAAGCCCGAATGCAGAAAGTTTCCATGAATCGTGCCCGGAAGCAGTGTGTCCAAAAAGTCATACAAATGGACAATGTAGTGATAAAAGACGAACCCCTTTCAGACAATGAGCCTGAGGCTCCAAACAACGAAGTCAACGTAAATCTTGTGGAGGAAGAAAGTAACATGTTGCCAGGAGGTGCAGAACCCCATCCTCTTCAGCATCCCAATGAAACTCTTGAAGTTGTGATAAAGCGTGACATGTTGCCGAGTGATCCTCGTCTTTATCGTACACTTACTCCAATCGAGAAAAAATTGATTAGTGATGTAACAATGGCATATAAAGAAACTCTAGCAAGCTATGCTGTAGAGCAACATGTCAACCAGGAGGAATATTATTCCAACTTGAATGATATTGTCAACAATTCAGAAGTCGCTGTGCGCCGTTTAATCAAGTTTGTGAAATTATTAACAGATTTCAAAACACTCAGTCAGGAAAACCAAATTGCAGCTCTGAAAGCATGTGTGCTGAATACTTTGTTGTTGCGATCTGTCAACTTCTACGATGTTGAAAATGATGCGTGGCGTACTCCCACTGGTAGCATTCCAACCAATGTGCTGAAGCAGGCCACAGGCCATCATCAGCTTCATGAGGCCCACACTTCATATTGCCGTAGCCTCAAGGCTATCACTCAGGACGACGAATATATCATGGCCATTTTACAAGTGATCATCATCTTCAAACCAGACGGAGTGAATCTTGAACACCGTCACGAAGTTTCCGATTTACAGGACAAATACATTCTATTGCTCAAACATTATCTAGAATCCAGTTTTAGTTACATGCATGCACACGTAGTGTTTTCCAGTTTGCTACGTAAATTTAACGAGCTGCAAAAGATCGGCGATGACCATGCTAAAGTTGTACTTCAAGTGAATGCCAGTCAGATTGAACCTCTCATGCTAGAAGTTCTGAATCTTCATTAGCATCTGAAATCATGTGACCATTCTTATCCATTATTTTGTATAATTGTTCTTGTTCCATTGTTACATTATTCCTTCTTATGTGTTTGTGCATTGGTGTGCAAGTTGGAAAATAAATTATATTTTTGAAATTTGATAATATCTTTATTATGTCAAATGCATTATATTTGGGATAGGAAGTTCAGCTCAAAGCATGCAACTATGATGTTTTGAAAAAACAAAAAAGAGAAAAGGTTCAGATATCATAAAGACGAATAGCAACAGTTTAATGTCTGGTTTTGAAATTTTTGACATGTTAGAATACTCAGTTCAAGGAGGCACCACTGTAGACCTGCAAAAATCATGATTTTTTATTTTATTTTTTTTTTAATTGCTTGTAGTGACAAATGTCCCAAGACATATTGCCATGGTAATGCATTGAAGACATTGCAAAGTATAAATTGATATTACCAGATGTGGTTTAATTGTTTATGCATTTTGAATAGCTAGAAAAAATGAGACACTCTTATGGTAAGAATCCATACAATCATATGTTGTAAAAATTATCTTTCATAAATTTGCTGATCTCATCTCCAAATGTTTGACAAATAGAAATTACTTGCATCATTATTAAGTAACATTTCATGAATGGCCACCGGAACTCAGTTTGTGGAACATCTGACTTTACAACCTCATGTGTAGGAGCTGAGATTCAAAGACTGGAGTATTTTGTCCCCAGGTTAGACATTTCTCCCAATTGCTTTAGATAGCCATTTGCAGTCCTCTCACATGTTGTTCATTGAGGTAGCCATCAATTTCTACTGGAAACCTGCCTCGGAACTACCCTGGCAGTAAAAATCAGCAAATCGGTAAAAACAAACCCTTTTTATTGATCATTCACATTTCTAAAGTTTTAACCACTCTACCTCATTTTCATAATTAGATAAAATAGAGTTTAGGCCCTTGTGGGTCTTTATATTACTTCTTTATTATAGAGGTCTGGAATGTACTTACTGGCTTTAAGATGTATGTCCGTCCATGGACAGAATTTCGTCCAGGATATTACCTGTAACCGTTTTTGCCTGCTTCCACTATAATTTGATATTCATGAACAAAACAAAGAGTTAGAATCATTATCAATGACACTTGTTTTTCATCATAAATGTTATGACTGGGTTATGTTTCATTACAGATTTTTCTGTCAGAGTTATGGCCCTTTACGAATTGTTTGTCAGAGTTACACCTTTCAGCTGATTTTCTCTGCATATTTTGACCAATTGATACTATCTTGGTACATATAGATAATATGGGACTTTTTAGGATAACTTAGTTTTCCTAAATTTTCAACTTGTAAACTTGTGGTCCAGCAACGATGTGGAGGAAATGTGTTGCAGGAAGATCCCATCTATAAGCGTTGATATTCATGAAGGAATTTCAGGTAACTTTCAATCAAAGACTTTCATTATTAGTTTCTTTTATTTCCAATTCAACAATGTTAGTATTGTATTTGTAAATCTTCCACTATGAACAAACTTGTATGATATTTTACACATGTAGATGTTTCAATACAAACTGTAGTTTTCAAAAAAATATGTTTAAATATTTTGGCCTTGAGGTCTATCAAACTTTTCCAAGACTGAGTTACCAAACAAATAAACATTTCATGATGACTTTCCTGAAAAATAGACACTTTTTACCTCAAGCTTTTGCTAAAGCTATCAGGTTTCAGCTGTCAAGGGGAACAGTATTGATTATTTTTAAAGTATCCTTGCAATGACAATGTACATCCTTTCTGAATGGCATTTGCATAATGAGGTAACAGATTGGAACCAGTGTTTTATCAATATTTTGATTGTTATTTTACATTAGTGGACTTGTTTGTGATCCTGAACATATTTATATATATATATATATATATATTATTATTGTTACATAAATCACATATTTTTATTACTGGGACCTTGCTATCATACCAGACTAGAGATTGCATTTTATTATGTAAATCATATTTATCTTCCCATAAACCCCAAAGTCAAAGGGTGGACTTACTACTGGACAATAAGCCCAGGAGGCAACACATAACCTCTGACTCTGGGATAGGCTTATGAGTAATGAGTTATGGCAAAGAAATAGCATTTTGAGGATTCTACCAAATAGCCACTGATAAGGGTGGGCTTATTACCAGATATGGGCTTATTACCAGACATGGGCTTATTGGAAGATAAATATGCAGTAACAAGCACTGATGGTGTGCCTTATACAAATTAAAAAGTATGTTTTTGTTTTTATTACCGAGCAAGTTTTAAAATAAATTGATTGAGCATTAAAGCTAAGAGAATGTACACAATATACCTATGATACGAATTACTGTTGATATTATTCATATCTCTGTCCTGCATAAAAGGTTGTTTTAAGATTTCTCGTGAGGAATTAAGAATTATGAAAAAATAGATGATTTTTAAATAACTTTAGCACGAGAAGGAGACTTCATGTCAGGAGTGTGGGTTTATCCATGAAATGAACAAAAGACGTTAGCAACTATAAGTAATTGAATTAACAGTGTTTAAACAATAATATGACCAGAGGGTCGTGTATATTGTTTTGAATTGTTGCTTGCCTGGTGTTAATTTTGTGGCTTTTTAATTTCTCTCAGATCGTCCCATCCTCGATACGCAAGGGGTTACAATCATTTTCTCTCTCTGCACCCCTAGAACCATCCTCGATACTCCAGGGGTTACAATCACTTTCTCTCTCTGCACCCCTGGAACATGTCATGGCAAGTTTCGAGATCACATAATGGTATATTGAAATAGTGTTGATATTGAGTGTTGCTCCTTTGTAATCATCAAAAGGAGGGTACCAGCCTGTGATTGGTCAGTTTATTTCTCCTTGAACTAATCAAATAGCATAGCTTGTACTTTCAATTTTGCCATGACATATTCCAGAGGTCCAGGGAGCGAAAGTGTTTGTAACCTGTGGAGTATCGAGGATGACACTGTTCATATGAAGAATATTGTTTGTTGGGACTTGAAAAAGTAAATATGTTAGGATGGTGTGAAATAAAAAAAAATATGTGTGTTCTCATATTTACCACTTCAGATTTTAATGAAGTATTACAAGACTAGAACATTTCTCTGAATTAAACTGTTATTTTAATAGTTAGTGTCAGCCAGTATGATAACAGATTAACAGTAAATATTCTTGTTTGGGTCAGATGACCTACTGTTTCCTGGATGTTGGTTAGGGATAAGATTATAATGAGATATAAAGTTAAATATTAACTGATAAGATGATAGATTATCATTTGTCATATCAGATCACTAGTACCTTAATAAATTCCTAAACCTTAAACAAATGTCACGTAACGCATAATAATGGTTATAAGCGAGACATGTTGGGTACAAAAATTTAATATCATTTCTATGGAGAAAGCATTCAAGTTCTATATATATATATTCATACAATCAGATCATCTAATAACTATATATTCCATAATCTGTGTCACAAAAAATATCAGATTTGTTCCAATAATCAATTATGGATTGTTTTTGGATGTCCCATTACTAATATTGCTAATGTTTTTGCTCTTCCCGGTGAAATATATACAGGCTCATATACTTATATTCATATCTCTCTAGATCATTATCATACACTCATTAGTGTAAAGAAAATACTGAATTTATGATAAGAGTGATTCTGAGTTGTAAGAAATATGGTTAATTTTTGTTGGAGGTAGAGTATGTGTACAGTATTTGTTATTTTGTGTTGTGTTTGAAATAAAAATGAAGATTATTGCTCATGTTTTGGCTAAAATGAAAAAAATATTTGCTCAATGAATTAATTGTTGGCCCTAATCATGTATGTGTTACATTGTATATTGATCATGAGACCTTGTCAGCCAGCTGTTACATGTATATAATTATTATTCCTAGTGTGGATTTTTTTCCTCTGGTATTTTTGTGCTCATATTTACATTTCAAATATGTATCACTTTCAATTTCAAGTTACATCGAATACATTGCAATATTTTTATTAAAAAAAAACAACACCCGTTTTTGGTCTGAAGAGAATTGTTTTTTTCTGTTTTTTTTTCTAAGAATAATGAGGTTCCAAAAATAAGATTCATTGACAACAAACTGTATAAGAATCTTGCCTATGTAGATATTATGACAGATTGGGATATTTTACTGAAGAAGGTCACGCCATACATAAGCTATTACAACTGTAATTGAGGCTTTTCCACATTTTGTTACTCCAGATATCTAATCCTTCTTACTCTCATAGAACAGTTTTTTTCTCTCTCATATCTAATTTTCTGCTTTATTTACACTTTCATCCATTTTCTGACTAATGTTGTATTGGTGTTATGAGTTTGATGGTAACGTTGATCAGTTCTGTCAGTAATATTTGTCTATATACCGCGTGGCAAAGGACCAGTTCTCTTGAGCTCAATCTATTGAGCAGTTTTGCTAAAGAAAACCATAGGCCTGAGAAAAAAATATCTCTAGTGAGGGCATTTTAATAAATATTGACCCTGCTGGTGCCCATGTTGGTAGTGATAGGACCAGGGGTTGTACTGACAAAAATTCTTTCTTTACAAGCAGAACTTTTAGCTTGGCTCAGCTTGGGAGAGCTTCTTTTCAATACTTTGACGGTTTGAACATTGTCTATTATTAGGTGTAACAATAGATAAATGACTTCTGTCTAGACTATTGTTATCTCTGGCAAAAAAAAAAAATGGTTGTCGTTACAGGATAAAAATTTTAATGCAGTTTCAAAATTTCCACTCCAATGCTTCTTATCTAAAATATCAATATTCTATCATACTCAGATATGTATGGTTTTCAATGAGAAACCTGTCAAATTTATACATTATTGTGCTATATACACAGTGCTACATACATACACAGTACTACATACATACACTGTACTACATACATACACTGTACTACATACAGAGTACTACATACATACACTGTACTACATACATACACTGTACTACATACATACACTGTACTACATACATACACTGCACTACATACACACACTGTACTACATACACTGTACTACATATACAGTACTACATACATACACTGTACTACATACACAGTACTACATATGCAG